TAGAGAAGAAATGTGCGTTATTTAAGACTTGTGTGAAGAGTGTATTGTTCCTTCTTTTAAAGTTATTAAAAAAATTTTGATAGTTGATTCTAATGTTAAAAAGTATGTCTAATTTGTAAAAAGTTGGAAAATCTCGGTTTTGACAAAAGTCTTGAAGCCTATGAAATGCCAGTTATTATTAAAAACATTCTTAGCAATGGTAAAAAATTTGTAAGTCTAAAATGTATATTGTAAGTAGCTACTTTTTTAAAAATGGAAAATAAAAATAATAGTATTAGAAATGTAGCGTTTTTATTTTTAATTACATTACTCCCCTTTAAAGAAAACATCCTTAATTTTTATTGGTTTATAACTTAACAGTTTGATTGCTTCAACCGAAAAGTCTGATTGAAACAACCGAAAAGTTTGATTGAAACAACCGAAGAGTTGGTTAAAATAACGAAAAAGTTTAGTTGAAACAACAGAAATGTTGGTTGTTGTAACCAAAAAGTTGGGTTGAAGTAACCGGAAAGTTCGGTTGAAATAACCTGAAAGTTCGGTTGCAATAACTAAATTTTTATCATAATGTCAACCGAATAGTTCGGTTGTTACAACCAACTTTTTTGTTATTTCAACTAAATTAAGGACAACTTAACTCGATTGGTCATCACAACTGCTGAGTTCGGTCAGGTCAATACCAAACGAAAAGTTCAGTAATTGCCAGTACTGACGCAACACTGCGCCGGTTGTAAATTTTTGCTTGGGTATTTTCAAGGACAACTAATTTTCCTCTATATATTTACAGCAAAATAAAAATTAAATATGTTTTTCCAAGAAATACAAATTTCACCGCGGGGCACAGTGAATAAATTAGTAATTTAAATGGCCAGTAAATTAAGACAATTAAAATGAAATAAAAGGAATTTTGAAGAAACGAACATCTTGAATATTTATAGAGCCATTATTTTTGTCTGAGAAAAGTCTCCTCTTGCGCTCTGCATATATATAGAGATAATAATATTCATCCTTTGCAAAGGCCGATCAAAGCTCTAGAGAGAGAGAGGAAAAAAAGGGGGGGTTAGCATGCCATGGATCGATCCTCAATATCTGGGTATTAAACATACATATGCATGTCGATAAGTTAGAAGCGGTAGTAGAGAAAAGATAGAGAGGAAAATATAGTGGATAGATAATTCCTAGGTACTTTCTTCCTATATACAATATTTTTTCTCTCTCTCTTTTTTTTCTGTAAAAGTCATAAAAAGAGGATTGGCAGTTTTTACAATACGAAATTTAGTTTCTCTCTCGACATATCGATACGTTGGACAGAGGGAGACATGGGGAGGGTGGGGGGGGGGGGGGTTGGAAAACATTTTGTACAATGCTCACTGAATGCGGGTGTATTTCTCGTTTGATTTAATTGGACGTGCTATTTAATTGAGCGATAACCCATGTTATATATGCTCGCCTTGCACGCGAACTCGTGTGTCGCGAGACAAAGGTTTCTCTCCTCTAAAGCTCCTGTCGATATGGTCTTCCATCTAACGACCTGCCTGCCTGCCTGACACTCCGGCGCAATGCTTTAGCGAAGCGTCAACGCCATACCATGGAAATAATCAACTCGTGTGCGCACTGCTGAGAGAATTTCAGTACCAGGAAACCGAAAAGCGTTGCGCTTAATTTTCAATTGACAGTCACAGATGATTGCTCAGTATTTTTGGCCTTTTGTTTCGGTGAAATAACTCACAAACTAAACTTGACAAATACATACATATAAACGACTAGTGTTCGCGTTCTTGTTATTTGTCAAAATGTTGTAATTAAACACACACACACACACAATAATATGGAAATGACGCGCGAATGAACACACACCGGTTGAAACAGCGGTAAACTACTAATTATTGCAACAATATATATATGAGTCAATCAATTATAATAATAAATTATTCTGGTTTCCTGTATATGAAAAATTAGTAGCATTCATCTATACATATATACAACTGTTGCACACTTGTTGGGATAAACAAATTCGGATAAAAATGTAATCTTCTTTTGAAAAAATCATTGTATTCTATGAATTAATTAAAGCGATTCATTACAACAATAATTTGGTAGGAGATTTCTGATTATATAAGATTGTTAAAAAAGCGAATGATTGCATAAACAATCATCAAGAAATTTAATTCCTAATAATCCAAAATCTAGATAAAGAATCAAAATTTTATCTATAGTACAAAATCCTAAGTCAAAAAAAGATTTCTAGAATTATGCATAATTTTTATTCCCTAGGTTTTTTTTATTCTTGGGAGAGGCGTGCGAAAGATTTTCTTTTTCAAATTCACAAATACTTTACAAAAACCATAATAAAGCAATTATTATAGAGATATGGCATTATCTCCCGAGTTTTGTTAAATTATTTTTTACATTAATATTCAATTAATATTTCTTTGTTATTTTAATTTTATTTTAGTTTGTTTATTTAATTATAAAGCTTTTATATATTCTTATATTTTATCATAAATATTCCCGGATTTTATTTAATTTGTTTTCAAAATCGTTACAATACTCGAGGATCTTAATCCTTAACTTGCTGCTTCTGTCCACAGATATGAAACTTTGAAAGGAAGGACACATCAAATTATATAGTACCTTGAAATACTAGTGGAAAATTTTCAAGTTGAATCCTGCAACAAATTCGTAATTAAGCTAATCTGTAAGGGATCCAACTACATACGTGTTACAAACGACTGTTTGACAAATGTTTTATTGTACTTCACTTCTATCTAGATCTCTTGTCTTTCATTCACGATTTCTACTTCTAGGGCGTTACTCTACCTTTTTTTTAATTTCTAAATCAGATTCGTCATTAAACCAAAATTACAACTTCCTTTCAAAATTTTTTACATTTCCTATATCGAGTTCCTAAGATTACGCAAAATAACTTTACGTGCCCTTCTACAATCCAGACACACAATTCCGGAGCAGTATATTAATTGAATAAATTGATTATTAATAACACACTTGGAAAGATTCCCCGGAAAGTGCCCCCTGGAGGTTCTATCAGAATTCCGTCGGAATTCCATAAGAGTTCCAAAGAATTTTCGATAGGATTCCGACGGAATTAGGACTCTAAAAATTTAAAAAAAAAATTAATCGGAATTCCGTCGGAATCCCATAGGAAATTCTTTGGAACTCCGATGGAATTACGTTGGAAATTCCGGCGGAATTCTGATAGAACCTCCAGGGGGCACTTTCCGGGGAATCTTTCCAAGTGGGAAATTAGTTCAATAAAAATTTTCAAAAATATAAAAACCATAAAAAAGACATTGTCGTTAATAAATTAAAAAAAAGAAATTCTACAAAAAAAATGTACAGTAGAAAGTTATATGTGCATCTATATATAAGATTAGGGTTGTCCAATTCATATCTCCTGCTGATGTTTATAGCCCTGCATATTTTTACTGGCAATATGTTGCAGGCGATCCACAAAAATTGACTTATGCGAATTTTACGATGCCGGTAGCGTTTCGCTGATTCTGTACGCGAGCTTTTTCATCGATGGGAATGAAGGAATATTTCGCTCCTTCTCTCTCTCACATACACATTTGCAACGTATATATTTTGAACTGCATTTATACCTCAGACCATCTCTTTACTATATATACCGAATATGGACTATCCCTATATTCCATTGAGAGATATGGAGATATTTTGGATAGGTGGCTCGCACTCGCGCGTTATGTATGTATATAACGATATAACTTGAGAGTCTATGGACGCATTACACTGATCGCGTTTACGTTCAGTTTCTGTCGAACAGTGGGTGATTTATCTGTCATGTTCACGTATCTTCAGGCCATGTCACTCGAGCTGTCCAGTTCGAATTGCGTAAATGCGGATCAAACGCATCAGTCGCACCAATATACATATTCTGTGCGTGCGTGTATATATATATACACACATTTACGATGAGCTTGGTGATATAAACATATATATATATATATATATAATACCCATATTGTATAGATGAGTGGGACATTTAAACACACGCATTCAGTGGGAAATATACATGCGGCTCCGTGTTTGGCGTTTCTGGCACGCGCGCTCACCTCATCTTCGATCTAGTAATTGCTATAGTTCCATTGACGATATAATTGCGTCATTGATTTCGTCCGTTTGACCACTGACACTTAATTACCCATGAGGATTATTCGACACTTTGGTTCTGACTCTATTGCTAATGGATTAGGTCTGATTAATAACTATTCACACCTTGTTTTCATCAACACATCGCGCAGCAGTATAAAAGGAAATTAAAAAGAAATGCATTATTTTTTTTTTGCTTTTTAATTATATACTTGCAATATTCCGCGTGAAAAAAAAGTGTTGCTTTCTCAAAACTCAATCGAAGCTGGATTAAGGCTAAAAAGACTGATCCGTCTTTTTTTTAAATACAAAATAAAAAATTTTAAATGAATAAAATCATAAAATAAGAAATAGTGGTTATAATAAAGTGTGGATAACTATTTAAATTTTTTAAGAAGATTGACTGATACTATACTAATATCTGTTGTAAGTTATTGTCAAGTTATTATTCAGCCAGCGTCGTAATGGAAAGTTAAAAAAAGTTACATAATTTAAATTAAAGTGATTTTCTATACAATGGTTAAATGTTATCTGTCCCTTTATGTTTATGAATTTATAATAAATTTTGAAAATAACAAAATAGACTAAATATTTTCATGTTTACACCTTTTTATCTACTTTATACATTTTTAAATGTCCTAATTTTTTTTTTTTTGAAATTAAGTAGTGTATTAAAATTAACGTTTTACTTAACCAGTTTCTTAATATTTGATAAAAATTTATTGTCTGCGCAACTGGGTTAATTCTTTTTATCTATGTAGACTCTATAAATTTAATTTTACAATTGTATCAATAAATTATTACACATAAAATCCATTTTATTTAAACAAGAAAAAAACATTTTAAATTAACTATGTATGCATATATAGTGACAACAACTCAAGTTGTGATATCAGTTGTAACTCTCATGGGAAAATATATATAATTCAACATATTATTTTGTGTGAGAATAATTAACGACACATTAATCAAATTATTGAACTTTACAGCGTTTCTTAAGCAATATAAGGTATGAAAATATTTTTTAAAATCTTTGTTTATTCACTCTTTCGTTCTTATATTTTGCCAAATTTAAAGTAAATTTTTAATTGATGCATTGCTTTTCAATACTTTTATCAATAGCGTGAAAATTGTTGATTAAAAAAAAAATACATTAATGTTTTATAAATTTAGTAGTTGATAATTTGGAATAAATATGAATTCAATAGTTTTAAAGAATGTTTTTCTGGATTTAATAGCATATTCTTTACAGTGTTATTTGGAGAACTATCAAAAAAATATAATTACCTTATTATTTAACTCGTTTAAAATTTTCCGAAAACATAGATTCTTCATACGTATATCTAAATTTAAATTTATATAAAAAGTTTTATTTATTGTTCAATAACAAAGTAATATATTTTTGCAGATATTACATTTTTCTGTCTTTTCTATTGAAAAAAATACAGTGGCAATTTTAACAAACTTTAATAGAATTTGAACATTTATAAAGTGGTAAATATAAACTCTATACTAATAAAACTCAACAATTAATAATGGAAGCAATTATAAATCCACTAGAAGCTGTAAAACTTATACCAATCTTCAATTACATTAATATACTTAGCGATTTTTTATACTTTGAACATTACCTTGAAGAAATCGATCAAAATAAACAGATACCAATTGTTAATGCACTTTATGAATATTTAGATGACCATCAGAATAATAAATTCAAGAAGGCTGAATTAATTAGAGCTTTATTACAAGGAAGTGATATGTATGGAGCAAACATCGGCGAACATGTTGATGTCACTTTTGTTAATGTGATGTTCGACTATATTATTAGTTCTCTTGTATTTGACAAGTATGGTAATATTTATGGGTTTTTGGCAGATGTATTTTGTAAAGTAGAAAATTTACAATTTGAAAAAGTATTAAATATAATAAGGATAAATCTTCAAAATGCATCTTTTGACAATGAATATGGCAGTAGTTCGACTCTCAGTGATTTATCAGTGGCAAGAATATACAACGACATAATATTACCTCTCTTTCCTCAACCAAATGATAGTCTTAATTTATTGTCTCTTGATTACATTTATGCACAAGCTGGTTCAATGTTTCTACGAGCAGGTAGAATAAATTCTAACAATTACATAAATTTTGAAAGCAATACTACATATCTGACTGAGGATAATTTATTTAACGAATACCTAGTAATAGGACATGTAATTGAAAGCTTCATATTAACTGATGAGAAAAATGTTGATATGTTAAAAGCTTTTGCTCTTCCAGCTCTTACGTATTCCATTTTCAATTACAAACATTTATTTGCCAATGATAATACGGCAAATTTAATATCCGATTCAACTTTCTGGCATTCGGCTTATGTTTATTTATTTCAATATACAACTGCATGTTTTGATGCTATTGAAGATAAGTTGAAAAATGACTACACATTAAAAATATATAGTGCACTTCTTAGATTTCAAAGTTGTTCTGCGTTTGCTAATGATATCATTGAGCATCATTGTCCTAAATTAGACATACAGGAAAGAATTTTTAAATTTCTTTTTTTTTCGTATTATCCTTTTCCCTTTCGATGTAAAATTGATGAATCTCTACTAAATCCAAAAGAGTATTTTAAAAATCAAATGAATAATATCACAGAATTATATGAAACATTCGAATTGCAATTAGTTCAAAATAATTTTCCCAAAGCTTTATTACAGATAATTGAACGTGAGAAAGTTATTGTAAAATTATTAGTTCCTAATAACTTAGTACTAAATCATAATATCCATGAATCAGAATATTTGTCTTATGATATTTTAGAATTTTTTTTCCCCCATAATCTAAGTGCAAATTACTACATTTTGAAACGAGAAAATTCTAATGTAATATTAATCAATACAAATGATAATTCACAATTATTTCCAATGCACATTAGACAATATTTGGAAAAATTATACACAACGGCGTATCATAAAATTTTAAAAACAGCTGACGAAAATAGTATCGTATTTTTTCACAACTTAGTAGAGCATAAAAAATCGAGATTTGAATCTCAGTTAAACATTTTAAACAACTGTGAAGAAGATAAAGGTCAACTGAATAATAATTGGTGGAAAGAATTTGATTTATCATTAGTGCCATATTATCCATGTTTAGCAAATTTATCTGAAACTAATAATAGAAATTATTGTGTATCAAATAATACTAATATCTATTACAAACATCTACTTGACATCACTTCAAAAGCAATAAACAATTATTCACAATCAATTCTGTCTTCATCAGGCACAAATATAAGATCATTAATTTTAAAATATGCAAGTTTTCAAACAGTAGCTGAAATTCTAACAGAAGAACGAGAATATAGACTTACATTAAAAAATCCACTAATTAAAAATAAAATATTTCAGGATATTTCTTTAAATATAAATGATCCTGCATTTCAATTAACATTTATAGCTAAAGACGACATAAATCTGTTTAAAAGAATAATCTATTCTTTAAGAGAAAAGACTGATTTTAATTTTACATTAGTTACTAGTAGTCTTTCGATGATAACAAAATTAAAATCCAATTCTTACAAAAGCATTGGTACTATTGGTGCAAATAGTTCTCGATTAATTTTCATAAACACTTTAAATAATCGAAGTGATACTGGATATGGTTATAAGTTTACTTTTTTATCTGAAAATATAAAAGAAATTGCACAATTAAGAACTGGCTATGAATTAAAAGATCAAAGATTATTTACCCAAGGATACAAGGAAAAAGAAAAGAAAATGTATATTGCATTAAGTAACATAACTTTTCAAATTGAACCTGATCATATTATGTATGAAATTAATAATCAATTTTGGAGGAGACCAACAAGATATATATTTTCCGGAATAACGATTCTAGCTGATGATTATAATGAGAATTGTTCGGATAATAAGTATTTTGAAATGTGGAAAAATTATAATATTTGCCGAAGACGACAGCGTTTTAATGCGAAATCTATCTATTTAGAATACGCTGTAAAATTTATTCAGAAAGATACAAGTTTTTCTGAAGAACAGATACGCCATATGCTTGAAAAATATACGTTTTCAGATAATACAACTCTAATGCGTTTTGTCAATGATTTGCTAAATGACAATTCTTTTAAAGAACCTATTTGGAGTAAAAACTATATAATAGAAAATCCAGCTCTCTTAAATGAATTAAGATTTAATTTACGTTTTGAGGAACATACTACTATATCAGAATATGATGCTGAATTTAGAATCAATTATCTTTACACAAAAGCAGAAAGATATCGAATTGAAGAAGAAACATCGATAAAAAATATAGTTAAAGAATACAATGAAAAGAAATCATATTTTTCGGTTTCATTTCATGATTACTATGCAATTCGAAATTATGCTACAACAGGATATAAAAGAATAACATGTGGTAGCCATGAAGCAAAACTTATGAAAATGGCTTTATATAAATTAGCAATAAGACAGTCCGACGACGATCCATATGAGGAAATTTATTTAAAATTATTTAGAATTGAGACTAAACCAATTACAATTCGTCGAATTATGTCAACTAAAATGAATATCACTCTTCAAAAATTTACACAAGCTTCTTCTAGTGTGGACTCGGTTACAAGATTTGCTGGTTATCCACAAACTGGATATATAAACATTCTTTATGAAATGATATTTAATGGATCATATCCAAGGATAAAAATAGAACAATTTTATAACAAAAAAGAAAAGAATGTAATTCTTTTACCAGGAAGTGAATTTTTCATTGAAGACAGTACAATGCTGCAACTTGGAGGATTGGGCAATGTTTTAAAACTGAAATTAATCTTTAAAGATAATTTTAATGATAAATATGTTTGGTATAGAAATATCATGAATGAAATTGCACATATCAAGTTCTAAACATTTCTCTAATGAATTTCAGAAAACAAGTGGGACAATTAACTAAAATATTAATAAATCTCCATCTTCTTGAATAAAGGAAACATAAGTTGGATAAGGATGTAAAGCAATTTTTTTTATTGTTTTTATTATTTGCGCAAAAAATCTTTTTTTAATAAAATTGAGCTTTGGAACTAAGAGACATATGTAGACACAAAAATAAATTCTAAGAGTATCCAATATGGAAAATTATTTTGTCATTAATTATGAAAATTAAAATATTAAATACTAATACAATATTTCTAACCATGTTTAACAAATTTTTTATCAAATATCTAAAATTGAACAATATTATTAAATTCTTTTTCTATTAGATATGGAATAAATAAAATGTTTATAGAGTTTATTTACTTATGGTATAATATTGATAATATTTTAATTATATCTATACCTTGAATCATATCAGAGAATTACACGTGTTTTCTCGTAAAATACAATATTTATTAAACATCAATTATATTAACTATTTATTAAGTTAAAATAATGTTTTCCTTTTCCAATTGTATCAACAAAATTATATACATAATAAATGGTTTGTCAGTGTAAAAAAATTTGTTTAACTATTTCCCAACTCACGTAATATATGTATACATCGATAGTACCTAATAATCTCATTACTGTAAGCTACAGCGTTTGATAAACAACATCAGGTATAAAAACATGATTCAGAATTCATTTCTATAAACACTTTATTTTATTGTCCTTTACTATTTAGCAGCGATAAATAAATTTTAAGTAAAACACAATTCAAAATTTAGTTTCAATCTTTCTGCATTTGTATTCTGATTTATAACAGATTGTATATATTTTTTACAGATATTTGAATTTCACTAGACAGTGTCATCTAAACTGAAACAAAAACAGTGACAAATGAGAAATTAAAATATCATTTTCTACTTTCCAAATTTGTAAAATATAAATTCTATACTAATAAAACTCAACAAGTAATAATGGAAGCAATTATAAATCCACTAGAAGCTGTAAAACTTATACCAATCTTCAATTACATTAATATGCTTAGTGATTTTTTATACTTTGAATATTACCTCAAAGAAATCGATCAAAATAAACAGATACCAATTGTTAATGCACTTTATGAATATTTAGATGACCATCAGAATAATAAATTCAAGAAGACTGAATTAATTAGAGTTTTATTACAAGGAAGCGATATGTATGGAGCAAACATCGACGAACATGTTGATGGCACTTTTGTTAATGTGATGTTCGACTATATTATTAGTTCTCTTCTATTTGACAAGTATGGTAATATTTATGGGTTTTTGGCTTATAGTTTTTGTAAAGTAGAAAATTTAAAAATTGAAGAAGTGTTAAATACAATAAGAATAAATCTGAAAAATGCATCTTTTGACAATGAATATGGCAATAGTTCGACTCTCAGTGATTTATCAGTGGCAAGAATATACAACGACATAATATTACCTCTCTTTCCTCAACCAAATGATAGTCTTAATTTATTGTCTCTTGATTATATTTATGCACAAGCTGGTTCAATGTTTCTACGAGCTGGTAGAATAAATTCTGAATATTATCCATATTTTATAAACTATGTTGCAACACAACCTGATGATAATAATTTATTCAAACAATATTTGGTAACCGGACATCTAATTGAAAAATTACTTCTTATTGATGAAAAAAATTTCGAAATACTAAAAGCATTTGCCCTTCCTGCTCTTTCGTACTATATTGTTAATTTTAAATATTTATTTGAGTATCAACAGATGGATAATGTAATTTTAGAATCAATTTTCTGGCAGACGGCTTATAAACATTTATTTCAATATACAACTAAAAGTTTTAATGACATTAATACTATGTTAAAGTATGATTACACATTAAAAATGCACGCAACACTTTCTAGTTTTCAAAGTAGGATTGTATTGGCTAAAACTTTCATGTCGCAACATTGTCGTAATTTAAATCTAAATGAAACAGATTCTGCGCTTCAATTGTATTTGAATTATCCTAAATCTTTTCTCTGTAAAACTGACAATGTTTTACCTGATCCAAATGAATATTTTAGAGATCAAATTTATAGCATTATTCAATTATACGAAACATATGATTTTCAATTAATACAAGAGGCCTTTTCAAAATATCTAATAGAAAATCTTCAAAAAACTATAGTTACTATAAACTTAGTAACTCTTCACAATGCACAAGAAGAATCTTTCGAATCTGAACATTTGTCGTATGATCTATTGCAATTTAATTTTCTCAATAGCAACAGTTCTGATTTTTATATTTTAAAGCGAGAAGATTATAATGCAAAATTAATTAAATTCGATGATGATACACAAGACACAAAAGATATTAAGTTACCTTTAAAAGCATTAATCAATTTTTCAACATTTATAATTTTAAAAACACCTGATGAAAACATTGATGTGTTTTTTAAAAATTTAATTAAATATAAAAAAACACGATTAGAGTTTATTTTAAAAAATTTAGAATACAATAAAGGAAACAGTGATTGGTGGAAAGAATTTGGTTTCTCATTAGTGCCATATTATCCTTGTTTATCAAATACATCAGAGATAAATGATGGGAATATGTGTAAATCAGGTAACATTGGACTTTTTTACAAATATCCACTTGACATAGCTTCGAAAGCAATAGACACACATTCGCGAACTTTACTATCTTCATTGGGAACAAATATTAAATCAGTATATTTAAAAAATGCCTCTAACGAAGCAGTAGATTCAATTATTAGTAAAGAACAAAAATTTAACTACTCAATAACAAATACATTAGATAGAAAAACATTATTTGAGGATATTTCTTTACACATAAAAGATCCTGAATTTCAGTTAAAATTTATAACTAAAGAAATGATCAGTAAACTTGAAAAAGTAATTAATTCCTTAAGAGAGAAGATTGATTTTAATTTTACGTCAGTTATTAGTTGTCTTACGAAGATAACAACTTTAAAATCCATATCTTTTAGAAACATCGGTTCAATTGGTAAAAATAAAAATCGTGCTATTTTCATCAATATTTTGGGTAATAAAAGTGACACTGGATATGGTTATAAGTTTATTTTTCTATCTAGAAATGTGAATGAAACTGCACAATTAAGAACTGGCTATGAATTAAAAGATGAAAGATTATTTTCCCAAGGGTACAGGGAAAAAGAAAAGAAAATGTATATTGCTTTGAATAATACAACTTTTCAGATTGAACCTGTTGATATTATGTATGAAATTAATTATCAACTTCGAAGGAGTCACACTAGACTTTTGTTTTTTGGAGTACCAATTCAAACTGATGATTATAATGAGAATTGTAAAGATAATAGATATTTTAAAGGATGGCAATATAATAAGATGCTTTGTCATAGGGAACGGCGTTTTAGAGAACAATCTGCATACAAAAAAGAAGCCGAAAAATTTATTCATAAAAATACCAATTTTCCCAAAGAATATATAAGCGATATGCTTGAAAAATTAATATTTCCAGATAATATAACTCTAACGCGTTTTGTCAACGATTGCTTAAAAGACAATTCTTTTAAGGCACCTATTTGGAGTGAAAACTTTACAATAGAAAATCCGGAAATATTAAATAAATTAAGATACAACTTACGTTTTGAGGAACATACTACTATATCAGAATATGATGCTGAATTTAGAATCAATTATCTTTATTCAAAGTTAGAAAGAAGTCAAATTGAAGAAGGAACATCGATAGAAAATATAATTAAAGATTACAATAAACAGAAAGCAAGTTTTTCAGTCTCATTTCATGATTACTATGCAATTCGAAATTACGCTACAACAGGATATAGAAGAATAACAGGAAACACTGATGAAGCAAAACTGATGAAAATTGCTTTATATAAATTAGCTATAAGACAGTCTGATGATCCAGTCGATGAGTTTGACTTAACATTATTTAGAGTCGAATCTAAATCGATTGCATTTCTTAGAAGCATATCTCGTAAAAGCAACATAACTTTGCAAAAATTTACACAAGTTTCTCCAAGTATGAAATCGGCTACAAAATTTTCTGGTCTTCCAGCAGTTGGAAATATAAACATTGTGTACGAAATGATATTTACTGAACCATATCTAAGGGCAAAAATATTACAATTTTATGAGAGTATAGAAAAGAATGTAATTCTTTTACCTGGAAGCGAATTTATAATCGATTATAGTAAATATGAGAATATTGAAGGTTTAGGCAGGGTTTTAAAAGTAAAGCTAATATTTCAACATACTCCTAATGATAAGTATGTATGGTATAAAAATATCATGTTTGAAATTACAAATAAACTTTTAAACTATGTATGATAAATTTAGAAATTTTTTTTGTAATAATTATTCTTTAAAATAGAAAATAGTTGTAAGCAAATAGGATTTTAATTTTGATGAAATTATAAATTGAAAAATGTAACTAAATTATTTTTCATATAATGTAAATTATATCTTCGTTGTGATAGATTTAATAAAAATTCATTTATGAAATGTAAAATGGATGAACCTAAAATAAATTGTGTTATAATATATGAAAATAAATTGATACAGAAATTAGTAATACAATAAAATTTAATTTGTTCATATAGAAAAAATCTATCCGCATGCATTAAATTTTCTATAAATCTATCAAAATGTCACTACTTTTACAGAACTAGATTTCTTATTTCTTTTTAAGTACAAATTAAATTATTATCACTTGGAGCGGATTTTATCGACGTTTGACTTGGAGTTAAATTTTAATGATTAATTTAACTTGCCTTCATCTAAATTTCTCTGATAGTTAGTAATTTCAGTGAGGAGCGAAAATAATTCAATTTTTTCAATAAATACAAGTAAATCAAGCAACACCTGCTCCAATAATATTGGCCCCCTCTATATTACATTAATTGATGTTAATTTGTATACTTTTTTATATGTATGATACAATATTTTCAATAACAAAATTTTTGTTATTTTTTCAAATCCCAAAGCCGAAATTTGACTTTTTATGATCCAAAATATGTCAGAATTTGTTTTTACTAAGTTTGTACTCTTCATTATAGTAATTTACACAGTTTAGACAAAAACAAATTTTTACAAACATGAAGAATAACATTTTTTTTATTAAAGAAGCAGTGATTTAGCGAAAAAATTAAAATAGCGACCTCTAAATAACTTTTAAACATTTTGTCAAAATTCTGAAATTTATTTTGGATTTTAAGAAGTCGATTTTAGGATATTAAAAAAATTACCAAAAATTCGTTGGTACAACGTATTAAATTATCAGTTTACTTTTTCAATTGTATCAATAAAACGATAGCCATATTAGAACAGTTTATTATGTAGATAAATAAAAATTATATTCAAACATTTCCAAAATAGATATATATTCAACAATTCTAAGGTTTAGATTGCAATATTAATTCTCATATTATATATATATATATACGCATTTTAACCGCTTTATTTAAAACACATTAACTACACAATAATCCAATTATTGAAAACGTGTAGAGTTTCATAATCTGTACCAGGTATGAATAAATATGTTTCAAAATTGCTTTATTATATGCATTGTTACTATATTGCATCTAACTATGTTTAATTATCTAATACTATAAATTTTAAGTGTTCTCAATGAGTTTATTTTAAATGTAATTACGCACACAGCCACCCAATAAAAATTGTTTGAATTAGAACAGAACTTTTATTTAAACGAATTTTCATTGAGGTAGAATTATTTACTTTAATTAGAATTTTTACTTAGTTGAAAAAATATTTAATTCCAATGCTTAAGAAAAATATATTTCGAATATAATGTGACCTCATATGTGAACATAAACTATTATTATAAAATTTAAATTTCTTTCCATACTTACGAAATTTAAATCGAATTGAAGAAAGCAAATACAACTCACCTGAAACAGAAACAAATTATTTATTTAAAAATTTTGTTTTAAAAATTTTGTTTTAAAAATTCATTACCAATAACAATTTATTAATTTCATAATGAAAAGGTCTTGTATGGTTTTTTGTTTTAAATAACATATTTATTTTCTCCCCTACTTGTTATTATGTAAAACCAAAATAACCTTTTCATTATAGAATTTATTAAAAAATGATTCTAAAGAATATTTAAATATATAGAAAGAGTATCATGATTCAATAACAAAATATATATTTTTACAGATATTTCAAATTGATTAATTGGCACACAATATAAGTCATAGACTAATAAATATAAATTCTATAATAATAAAATTAAGCTTTCAAGAATGGAAACACTGATAAATCCACTAGAAGCTGTACAACTTATACCAATCTTCAATTGCATAAACATACTTAGTGATTTTTTATACATTGAACATTACCTTCAAGAAATCGATCAAAATAAACAAATACCAATTGTTAATGCACTTTATCAATATTTGCAAGATTATCAAAATAATAAACTCAAGAAAGATGAATTAATAAGAAACTTGCTAAATGAAAATGATCTGTATGGAGCAAAAGAAGACGAAGAGTTTGATGTGACTTTTGTTAATGTAATGTTCGAATACATTATTAGTTCTCTTGTATTTGACAAATATGGTAATATTTATGGTTTTTTGGGAGAAATTTTTTGTGAAGCAGAAAATTTACAGTTTCCAGAAGTATTAAATATAATAAAGCTGCATCTTCAAAATGCATCTTTTGACAATGAATATGGCAGTAGTTCGACACTCAGTGATTTATCAATGGCAAGAATATACAATGACATAATATTACCTCTTTTTCCTGTACCAAAAGATGATATTAGTTTATTGTCTCTTGATTACATTTATGCACAAGCTGGTTCAATGTTTCTTCGAGCAGGTAGAATAAATTCTAACAATTACATAAATTTAGGAAGCAATTCTGCTTCTCTAACTAACGATAATTTATTTAACGAATACTTAATAATCGGACATGTAATTGAAAGTTTTCTGCTAACTGATAACAAAAATTTTAACATCTCAAAAGCTTTTGCTCTTCCAGCTCTTACGTATTATATTTTTAATTATAAATATTTATTTACCTATGAGAATATGGCAAATTTAATATCCGATTCAATTTTCTGGCAGGCTGCTTATGAACATTTATTTAAATATACAACTAATGCTTTCAATGAAATTGAAATTAAATTAAAAAATGACTACACATTACAAATGCATATGGCACTTTCTAGTTTTCAAAATAGTGCTACATTAGCAAAAAAAAATTTGAAAAAATATTGCCCACATTTAGATGCAGAAGAGATGAATTTTAGACTTCCTCTTTATATAAATTATCCTAAATCCTTCGAATGTATTATTGGTGAGAAGCTACCTAATCTACAAGAATATGCTGAGAATAAAATTAATAATATTCTTGAATTATATGAAAAATATAATTTACAATTAGTTCAAGAGGCCTTTTCGAAATCTCTAATACATCAAATTGAAAATAGTAAAGTTATTATAAAATTACTACTTCTTAACAATACAGTTGAAAATAATGATTTTGATAAATCAGAATTAATATCGTTTGATATTTTGGAATTTTTTTTTCCTAATAACATAAGTTTTAATTATTATATTTTAAAATATGAAGATTACAGCGCGATGTTAATCAATTACATTGATAATGATCATTTTTTCACAAAAGATATTAGATTACAAATTGAAAAGTTATTCAATATGGCGATACCTAAAATTTTAAAAAGAGTTGACGAAAACATTACCGAATTTTTTGACAACTATGTATGGGATAAAAAATCCCGACTTGAAGGTTATTTAGTAATGTTAAGTAATAATCAAGGAAAATATAAGCACATAAAAAATGATTGGTGGAAAAACTTTGGTTTATCATTAGTGCCACATTATCATTGTTTATCAGATAAATTTGAAATGAATTACAAAGATATTTGTGCACCAAATAATATATCACTTTTTTACAAATATCCACTTGATATATATTCAAAAACAATAGACATTCATTCACGAACTTTTCTATCTTCATTGGGTACAAATATCATATCAATATTTCTGAAAAAAGCAGGTAATGAAGCAGTAGATTCAATTGTAATTGAAGAACAAAAATATAGATACTCAATGAAAAATGTGGTAAATAGAGATAAAATATTCCAGGATATTTCTTTACACTTAAAAGATCCGGCATTTCAGTTAACATTTGCAACAAAAGACATGATAAGAAAACTTGAACAAATAATTAATTCCTTAAGAAATAATATTGATTTCAGTTTTACGTTAGTTATTAGTAGTTTTTCGAAGATATTAACTTTAAAATCTCATTTTTACAAAAGCATAGGTTCAATTGGAGAACAAAATTCTCGTTTAATTTTCATAAATACTATAAATAATAAAAGTGAAATGGGTTATGGTTATAAATTTATTTTTTTATCTGACAATAAATGTGCAAAATTGAGAACTGACTATGAATTTAAAAATAAAATATTAATTAAACAAATTATAAAATTTGAAATGGAAATATATACGGTTTTAAATAACGTAACTTTTAAACCTAATTATATTGTGTATAAAAATGATAATAATCAATTTTGGAGAAAATCCACTAACGTTTTATTCACTGGTATATCAATTCAAGATGATGATTGTAATGAAAATTGTATGGATATTAGATATTTGGAAAATTTGGAAAATATTAATATTTGCCAAAGACGACGGAGGTTATTAAACAAATATAACTACGAAGAAGAAGCGATAAATTTCATTAAGAAAAATACAAAATTTTCAGAAGAACAGATACGGAATATGCTTCGAAAATACACATTTCCAGATAATGCAACTCTAACTCTATTTGTTAGAGATTGGCTAAAAACCAAATCTTTTCATGAACCCATTTGGAGTAAGGAATATATAATAAATGATTTTGATCTCTTGGAAAAATTAAGATACGACTTACGTTTTGAGGAGCATAATACTATATCAGAATATGAAGCTGAATTTAGAATTAATTCTCTTTACTCGAAAGCAGACAGACGTCAAATTGAAAATGAAGTATCGTTAGAAAGTATAGTTAAACAATACAATGAACAGAAAGCAAGTTTTGCAGTCACATTTCATGATTACTATGCAATTCGAAATTACGCTACAACAGGATATCAAAGAATAACAAAGGGTACCCATGAAGCAAAACTGATGAAAATGGCTTTATATAAATTAGCAATAAGACAATCTGACGATCCGGTTGACGAATTTGATTTAACATTATTTATAGTCGAATCTAAATCGGTTGCATTTCTTAGAACCACACCTCCTAAGAATTATATAACTTTGCAAAAATTTACAAAAGCTTCTCCTAGTATGAATTCTGCTATAAGATTTTCTGTCAATCCAGCAGTTGGATATATAAACATTGTTTATGAAATCATATTTTCTGGACCATATTTAAGAGTGAAAATAGAACAATTTTACAACCATAAAGAAGAGAATGTAATTTTATTGCCTGGAAGTAAATTTCGAATTGAATATCATGAATTTGAGGAAATTGAAGGTTTAGGCAAAGTTTTAAAAATAAAACTTAAATTTTTACATTTTTATGACAAGTGTGAATGGTATAAAAATATTATGAATATAATTTCACAAATCAACTTCTAAACAATATATAATGAATTTAAAATTTTTTTAAAATAACTTTTTTAACATTTAATTCAAATAAATATTTATTTTTATATAAAACAAAACGTTTAGTATAGTTTAATTAATTTTTCATACGATGAAAGAATTTGATTGAGCTAAAGAATCTTTTGGTTGTTTCAACTGAAAATTTGTTTAACTGCATACCAATACATTTATTTGGTGAATTTAAACAATTTTTTTCTGAGTGTATACTAATTTTAAATATCTAAAATTGAGTGAAATAAAATAAATAAAATTTTTATTAAATTTGTTTCCTTATGGTAAATTATTAACATTATTCATCTTAAAATAATACGAGCCTTCGCTTGAGACAAAAAAAACCAGAAAACGTCTAATTATAATAAGCTGATCAAATGGAAAAATACAAAATAATTTTTATTGTAATAAATTTTAATTTTTTCAATTGAATCAATAAAGAAATATGTCTAGTAAAATAGTTTATTTGTATATAAATACATAAGTATTTAAACATATTCAATATATTATTTAAACTTATATAATTAATTATTGTATATATTATATATATAAAAAATTTTATATTAAAATACTTCTTTATCCAAATAAAAATGTATAAATAAAATGTTTACTAACGTTAGTTTGTTTATGGTAAATTGTTAATAATAATGTCATTGTCTTAACCTTGAAACAGTTCATAGACCCACACGTACCTACGCGTGCAACAAAATAATGAAGTAATAAAATTATAAAAAAAAGGATTTTGAAATATTTATTTTAGTTCCTCACAGACATAACCGTACTTTTTACTGTTTACGAATTATTTTTTTTCATTCTTTTGTAAAATTCAATTTTGTCACCGGTAGAACATGAATAGTTCAAAATGATAATGATTTTATTTTAACGAAATTTAGATGATTACATTTTTCATTACATCTAGTAAAATTTAATTAAATTTCGTTACCATATTATGACTATCTCATTGATAAATGTGAGAGAGTACAAAATACGTTCCTACGTTATGCTGTTAGATTATTAGGTTTAAATTATGAATTTTTTGGCCATCAATGTAGTAATTTACTTAAATAATTAAATATACCACCTATTGAGTCTGTTTTTTGTATAATGATTTGCTTTTGTTATATAGAATCATTCATGGTTTAATAGTTTGTCCTCTTTTGTTATCAAAAATAAATTTTTCAGTAGCGTCAATGCATCAACGTAGTCGAACGTCTCTATTGTTTTATGTACCGATTAGTAGAACAAAATATGCTCATAATTCAATTATTAATAGAAATAGTCGTGAAGACAACACTATATCTAGCAGCATAGACTTCTTAGAAACATCAGAAATGGTTTTTAAATCTAAATTGCGTAGTCTAAATTAAAAGTTTTAATTTTGTATTTCTTTTTTCTTAAGGGCAGTTAGCTTCTTAACTCAATAAAATAAATTAAAAACGACAAATTATTTGTAATTAAGCATTAGAATCTGCATAAAAAGACAAATAATTTAACACTTTGTAAACTAATAAGTCATGCTTAATTTTCTAGAATTTAAAATTCATTAATTTTCCATTCGTCTTTATACACTCAGAAAAAAATTCGTTTGAAGCAACCAAATTTTGGTTAAATCAACAAAATAAATGCATTGATATACAGTTAACCAAACATTTGGTTGCATAAACCAAACGTTTATTTAGTTCAATCAAATTTTGTCTTTGTTCAAAAAATTTATTAAAATAAACCATACAGTTATTTAGATCAAATAAATATTTATTTGAATTAAACAAATTTTGTTTGAACTAACCAAAAAATTGGGTAAATATAAAAAACTGGTACATTTGGTTCAAACATATCTTTTTTCTAAGTGTATTTAAATTTTTTTTTGAATAATTTAAAACTGCTGTAAATTACAAAAATTTATGTTAATTATAACATTCTGATTCTATTATTTTTACTTTAATCATAAATTCTATCAATTGTATCAATAAAACGAGACACACAGCTTTATTTGTATATATATAATCAAAAATTCTATGTAAATATATTTTGCTTAGGTATAAATATAGACCAGTAAATCACATAAATTTAGATCATAAAATAGTAACCCTTGTGACAAATAAAAACTTCAATTTCTTTCAATGAAATAAAACAATCTAAAAAATAATTGAAATTGAAAGCAACAACGTTTTACAAACAATATCAGGTATAAAAACATGTTTCAAAATTTTTTTCTCAGGCAATTTTTTTGTTTCAACTATTTAATATTTTTTAACTTTATTTTCAATGATTATATTATACAAATATATTTTCTATAACTTTCTAATATAATTGCAATGTAAAAAATATAAATTGAGTGTGTCGTCGATATTCCTACCGGCATAATTTAAAAATGACTTTGCCGATTAAATTAAAACTTTACAACTTCATAGATACGTACTTAGCCTAAAATCATCACTTGACAGAATTAAAAAAAGTATTAAATATTAATAGAAATATTTGTACAATATAATAATATATTAAGACATTATTATTTAATAACTACGTATTTTATTCTGCAGGTAAAATTTGAATTAAGAAAAACTTCTGCATTAAAAAGAAATAAAAAAACTGAAATAGTTTCTTATTATTTTGTAAATAGTAAGTACAAATGTTAAACTAATAAACTTAAATTCTCAATAATGGATACATTCAAAAATCCACTCGAAACAGTACAGCTAATACCAATATCGTTCTGCATAAACATTCTAAGTGAATTTTTATTTATTGAACAATACCTAGTAGAATTCGATCAAAATAAACAAATACCAATCGTTAATGCACTTTATGAATATTTGCAAGATTATCAGAATGATACATTTAAAAAAATTGAATTAATAAGAAACTTGTTACATGGAAGTGATCTGTATGGTGAAAAAGAAGGCGAATACATTGACATCACGTTTGTTAATATGTTGTTCGACTACATTATTAGTTCTCTTGTATTTGACAAATATGGTAATATTTATGGTTTTTTGGCAGATACATTTTGTAAAGCAAAAAATTTAGAAATTAAAGAAGTATTAAATAGAATAAGAACAAATCTTCAAAATGCATCTTTTGACAATGAATATGGCAGTAGTTCGACTCTCAGTGATTTATCAGTAGCCAGAATATACAATGACATAATATTACCTCTTTTTCCTGTATCAAAAGATGATATTAGTTTATTGTCTCTTGATTACATTTATGCACAAGCTGGTTCAATGTTTCTACGAGCTGGTAGAATAAATTCTTACAATTACTTAACTATTCAAAGCAATTCTGCATATTTGACTGATGATAATTTGTTTAACGAATATTTAACAACAGGACATGCAATTGAAAAATTTATTCTCACTGATGAGAAAAATTTTAATATGTTAAAAGCTTTTGCTCTTCCAGCTCTTTCACATTTTATCATCAATTCAAAATATTTATTTATCTATGAGAATATGGCAAATATAATATCAGATGTATCTTTCTGGGAAGCGGCTTTTAAACAATTGTTTACATATACAAGCAATGCTTTTAATGACATAAATTCTATGATAAATAATGACAATACATTAAAAGTAAATATGGCATTCTCTAATTTAAATAAAATAAAAGTATTTTACCGATACTCAATTGCTGTATCTTCAAATCTATTGCATACAAATACAAGTTTATTTCTGTCTTCATTGGGTACAAATATTAAATCAGTAATCCTAAAAAAATTAAGCAGTGAAACAGTAAATGATATTATAACACAACAACAAAAACCTAATCTCTTAATAAAAAATTTACTAAATAGAAGTGAAATATTTGAAAATATTTGTTCACACATTACAGATCCTGGATTTTACTTGACATTTATCACTAAAGACAAGATAAGTGTGCTTGAACAAATAATTTTTTCTTTGAAAGAGAAAACGGATTTCAATTTTACAGTATTGATAAATAGTCTTTTACAAATAAAAAATTTGACATCAAACTCTTATAAAAGCATTGATTTAGTTGGTGAAAATAGAAGACAATTGCTTTTTATTCACACTTTAAATAATCGCAGTAATACTGGTTATGGTTATAAGTTTATTTTTGTATCTGATGATATTTCAAAAATTGCAGAATTAAGAACTCTCCATGAACTTAAAGAAAAGAAATTTCTCATACAAATTAGAAATTCGGAAAGAGAGGGAAATATGTTTATTGCATTAGATAACAAAACTTTTAGTTCTGATCATGCCATATATGAAATTAATAATCAACTTCGAAAGAGTGAAAAAAAACTTTCATTTTTCGGAATACCAATTCCAGCTGATGACTACAATGAAAATTGTAATTCTATTAGATATTTGGAACATTTAAAAAATTTTCAATATGTTAATTTTTGTGAAAGGCGTTGGCGTTTATTTAAAAAAAATAGCTACGAAGATCAAGCGATAGATTATATAGTAAAAACAACAAATTTTTCTACAGAACAGGCTAGCCATATGCTTAAGAAATACACATTTCCAAATAATGCAACTCTAGTGCGATTTATCGATGATTGGGTAAAATGTTCTTTCTTTTATGAACCCATTTGGAGTAGAGAATACATAATGGATGAACCTGATCTCTTGGACAAATTAAGATACGACTTACGTTTTGAGGAACATAATACTATATCTGAATATGAAGCTGAATTTAGAATCAATTCTCTTTACTCGAAAGCAGACAGACGTCAAATTGAAAATGAAGAATCGTTAGAAAATATAGTTAAACGATACAATGAACAAAAAGCAAGTTTTGCAGTCACATTTCATGATTATTATGCAATTCGAAATTACGCTACAACGGGATATAGAAGAATAACAGGGGGCAGTCATGAAGCAAAACTGATGAAAATGGCTTTATATAAATTAGCAATAAGACAGTCTGAGGAATCGGATGAGGATTTTGACAAGACATTATTTAGAGTAGAAACTAAATCAATTTCATTTCTTAAAACCATACCTCGTAGGAACAATATAACTTTGCAAAAATTTACACAAGCTTCTCCAACTATGGAATCAGCTTTGAAATTTGCCAGTTATCCACCAACTGGTTATATAAACATTTTTTATGAAATGATATTTAACGGATCATACCTAAGGGCGAAAATAATACAATTTTGTGAGAAAATCGAAGAAAATGTAATTCTTTTACCGGGAAGCGAATTTATAATGGAAGATCGAGTATTTGATTTCGTTGAAGGTTTAGGAAATGTTTTAAAAGTAAAACTAAGGTTTCAAAATATTTTTGATGACAAGTACATGTGGTATAAAAAAATCATGAATGAAATTACTGAAATTAACTTCTAAAACATTGTGTTGGTAGGACGGAAACGTTTACAACTTCAATAATTTAGTCAAACTGACTATCTGACCAATAAATTAAAAAAAAACATGATTGGGCTTCGTCCATAAATTACATCACACATTTTTAGCCCTTTTTTGACCCCTTCCCCCCCTTTGTCACATTGTAAGTAACATCCGAAGGAACTCCCTCCCTCTAAATTACGTCAAAATTCCTAGGCCCCCCTTGAATAAATTTTTTCCAGTGGCGTAAGAACCGGGGGGCAGGGATGGCAGTTGCCCCCCAGTCTTAAAAGTGAGGTGGCAAAGGTCATGATTTGCCCCTCCAAAATATTTGACTAAAACTTGGGTAAAAAGTGTTCAAATCCCTTCACGATAAAAAAACTTTGTATAAACTAGCGAAAATAATCTCTAGAATAGTTATAAGTATAGTTAATATCGCCTTAGCGATAATCCATTTTCGCTAGAATAGAGAAAATAAAATTTTCTATGAGATTTAACTATACTAAATATATATTATGAATAGAATATAAATACCTTATCTCTGAAACAGTATTTATTTTAACTATCATGGAGATATTCAATTTCCTTAAGAAAATGAAAATAGTGACTATTTTAGATATTGTTAAACGTTATAATTAATCTATTAAATAGATTTCCTTATTCTATAAATATTGTACTTTTGTTATGTCACTGTTCATAAATTTTTTAGCGTGTTCTAGAGGTTTATTTTTGTATTGGGGGGGAGGGACAAAGCTCCAGCTTTGCCCCCCCTTGAAACAAATTCGTTCCTACGCGTCTGATTTTTCCAAAATTAATCACTTTTCAACACGTAGACACCTATACTGCCCTACAACGGAAAAAGATACATAAGCCACAAATAGGTCGAACGGAGATATTTGAGAAAAACCATTTGCATCAAAAACTTCATTTAGAATTCATTTTTTATGAATAAAAATATCCCTAATGGGATAAATCGGATGTGCTCTTTCTATTTTTGCAAAAAAAATTAATTATTTAAACAATCCCTTTTAAAAAATGCACTTGCGTAGTTTTTTTAGTGCAAATGCAACGTAAAAAGAACACAAAGTCGCTTGTGGTGTTTTTCGTTGTAAAGTCATCGAGCGGATCAAAGATGTCCAGCGAAGAATATACATAAGGGACAAGAGAGTATGGGATTAGAGTATGGCACTTGTGTATAGTCTCCACTGGACATCTTTGCTCCGCTCGATTATTTTACAAGCTAAGAAATACACAAGCGCGCTTGCGAATATCGTTCTGTAAATGAAGCCGAGCTCGGCCGCTTTTGCAACGGAAAAAGATACATAAGCTACCTCGCGTATATTCTTCCATTGTATTTTGTGACGTATTTCATGCCTCCTACAGAATTTAGGCAACGCAAAGTACCTCATGTGTCTTTTTCCGTTGTATTTTCTCATTTTTCGCGAATTCCAATATTTTCAATCTTAATTTTTTATTATAAATAATTAAAATTTTGAATTTTAATTACGATAGTCAGATGCAGCTTTTTATTACGAATCCATTGATACCAAAAACTCATTTTTGACCAAAATGTCACTTATGTATCTTTTTCCGTTGTAGGGCAGTATAGGTAAGCCTTAATCTCCAGACCTACTCTCACCAAATATATGATTTCAGACCTGTATATAACCTTAATAACTATTTCTTTAATGTCAATCACATACGAATTTTGGCGGGATATTTCAAATTTTTAATGTTACATTTTGTATTAATTATACACGGAAAAACTTTGTTCAAGAATCATTGCTAAATTTGTTCAGGAACTGAGGATATGAGAAAAATTCTTCAAAATTTACAGAAAAATACAAAAATCATTGAAGAAAATACTTGTATTTTTATTATGACATTGGAAGACTTCTTGTTAATGCCGCAATCGGAATATCTCAGTCACTGGGCGTTGAAAGTTTCTTGAACTGTTTCAGAAGACACAGTACAGTAACCAAGCACTAGGCAGAAATTGGTTGTGTCAAATAATATGTTTCCAATGCATAATACCATAAGCTGCTAAGGTAGCTGAGAGATGTAAAGCGCAGTTTTTGGACTCTCGAGGACGTGGGATCGAGTCCTCACAGAGTAAATTTTTTTTCTCGCAAACGTAAAAATTTATTCTAAAACAAGTTCAAGACTTTCTGTAGTGAGTTTAGGAAGTTTTCTTGAATTTCTCTACAATTATTATAGAAAGAATGCTTAGAATTTTTCAAAGAAAATATAAATAAGATTTCTTAAATTATTCTCATATCCTCAGTTCCTGAACAAATTTAGGAATGATTCTTGTACAAAGTTTTTCCGTGTATATTTTATTAAGTATTATGAACTTTTCCGTATAGTGTAAGTGTGACATAACACAATAAAAGACCCCCTCCTCCCCCTTTGTCACAATTAGTCACATTTTCATAAACCTCCTCCTCCCTAAAAAATGTGACGTAATTTATGGACGAAGCCTTACGGAAGGTTAAAAACGAAAGGCATCTTATTAATTTAAATACATATTGTTAGTTGTTATCATTTAATAATTTTTTTACGATGCTAAAGTACGCAGGGTTTATAATAAACAATTTTAAAGAATGAAATTAAAAAAGAAAAAAAACACCCTTATACCAAGTTTTACAAAAATCACCAGAAATTCAAAAAACTATGCCCGCCATTTTGAATTTTTATATTTTGAAATGAAAATTTAATTTTTTTCAAATAAAATTACGAATTTGAGATCAATTTATCAAAATTTAAAATGCTCCATTCAAATAAAAAAAATTTTTTTTAAATTTATTTGCTTATGGTAAATTATTGATATTATTCATCTTATAATAAAACGAGCCTTCGATAGCTACAAAAACAGCAAGAGAACATCTAATTATAATAAGCTAATCAAATGGAAAAATACAAAATAATTTTTATTTCTTCAACTGTATAAATAAAGCAATATGCCTAGTAAAATAGTTTATCAGTAGATAAACACACAAATATTTCAACATATTCAATACAATATTTAAACTTAAATAACCAATTATTTTATGTATTATTTGGAAAAATTTTCTTATTAAAATGCTTCTTTATCGATATAAGAATAAATAAATAAAATTTTTACTAACGTACACACTAAAAAAGAAATCTTGATTTCAGCCCATTTTTGAGGCTGAATTTAAGGTGTAAACGCCCGAGTAGAAATTTGTAATGGCGCTAGCTCGCGGCGCGAGACTCCATAAGCGATAACATGGCATCTAGCGCTTCCATCCTAGCGCCATTACAAATTTCTACTCGGGCGGAGTCAGACCAATTAAAAAAGGACAGACATTATTTTACTATTTGTTGCTTTATTTTTATTATTTTTGCGTTAAGTTATGGTAAATGAGTAGAACAGCGACATTCCTTGTACCAAACAAAATCATTTCTCCAAAATTTTAACCCAACATCATTTTTTATTTAAGAGTAAGTTTAAAACCACAAAAAAATGTTCTTTGCTCACATACGCTTAACGATAAAATATTGGTAATATTTTCATTGTCTTAACTTTGAAACAGATCACTGTTAGAACATAAAACGTTTATAATAATGATTTTATTTTAACAAATTTTAGATGATTCAATTTTTTATTTAATTTAATAAAATCTAATAAAATGTAATTAAATTAAAAACGACAAATTACTCGTAATTAAGTATTAGAATCTGAATAAAAAAACCTATAGTGTTACATCTTGTAAACTACATAATAAGTCTTGCTTAATTTTCTAAGATTTAAAATTCAATCATTTTTATTTCGTCTTTAGATTTAAAAATTTGTTGTAACAATTTAAAACTGCTGTAAATTACAAAAATTTATATGTTAATTTTAACATAAATATTCAATTCTTTTTACTTTTATCATAAATTGTATCAATTGTATCAATAAAAATGATACACATAGCTTTATTTGCAGTTTTCTTTGTATACATAAACAAAAATTCTATCAAATATTTTCAGCTACGGTGTAAATATATACCAGTATATCACACAAATTTAGATCATAAAATAGTAACACTCGTGTCAAATAAGAATTTAAAAATCTTTTGATGAAATAAATCAAATTTAAAAAAAAATCTAAATTATTGAAAGCAACAACATTTTACAAACAATATCAGGTATAAAAACATGTTTCAAAATTTTTTTCCTTCATACAATTTTTTTTTTATAAACTATTTAAAAATTTTATACTTTATTTCCAATGATTATATCATACAAAAATATATTTTCTATAACTTTTTAAACATAAAAATATAATTGTAATGTAAAAAATAAAAACTTTGTCAGTTGTCGATATTCGTACAGGCATTATTTAAAAATGGCTCTGCGATTAAATTAAAACTTTACAGCTTTATTGATATGTACTTAGCTTCAAATCATCACTTGACAAAATTAAAAAAATATATTAAATATTAATGGAACTATTTGTACAAAATAAGACTATATTAAGACATTATTCAATAAATACATATTTTATTTTGCAGGTAAAATTTGAATTAAGAATATCTTTTGTATTAAAAAAAACACAAGAAATTGAAAAAAACGAAAATAGTTTCTTATTATTCAGTAATTAGTAAATACAAATGTTAAACTAATAAACCTCAACTCTCAATAATGGATTCATTTAAAAATCCACTTGAAACTGTACAGCTAATACCAATAGCTTTCTACGTAAATATTCTGAGTGATTTTTTAATCATTCAACAATATCTAGAAGAATTCGATCGAAATAAACAAATACCAATTATTAATGCACTTTATGAATATTTGCAAGACTATCAGAATGATACATTTAAAAAAATGCAATTAATAAGAAACTTGTTAAATGGAAGCGATATGTACGGAGAAAAAGAAGACGAATACGTTGACATAATTTTTGTTAATGTGTTGTTTGACTATATTATTAGTTCTCTTGTATTTGACAAATATGGTAATATTTATGGTTTTTTCGCTGATACTTTTTGTAAAGCAGAAAATTTAGAAATTGAAGAAGTATTAAATATCATAAGAATAAATCTTCAAAATGCATCTTTTGACAATGAATATGGCAATAGTTCGACACTAAGTGATTTATCAGTGGCAAGAATATACAACGACATAATATTACCTCTCTTTCCTGTATCAAAAGATAATGTTACTTTATTGTCACTTGATTATATTTATGCACAAGCTGGTTCAATGTTTCTACGAGCTGGTAGAATAAATTCTTACAATTACGTAAGTTTTGAAAGCAATTCTGCATATTTATCTGAGGATAATTTATTTAACGAATATTTAACAACAGGACATGCAATTGAAAAATTTATTCTCACTGATGAGACAAATTTTAATATGTTAAAAGCTTTTGCTCTTCCAGCTCTTTCATATTTTATCATCAATTCAAAATATTTATTTATCTATGAAAATATGGCAAATATAATATCAGATGCATCTTTCTGGGAAACGGCTTTTAAACAATTGTTTACATATACAACCAATGCTTTTGATTACATAAATTCTATGCTAAATAATGACAATATATTTAAAATAAATATGGGATTTACTGATTTAAATAAAATGAAAAAATTTTACAGGTACTCAATTCCTGTACCTTCAAATATATTGCGTACAAATACAAGTTCATTTCTGTCTTCATTTGGCACAAATATTAAATCAGTACTATTAAAAAGTGAAAGCTCTAAAACAGTAAATGAAATTGTACCACAACCAAATAGATCTAATCTCTCAATAATAAATTTACTAAATAGAAATGAAATATTTGAAAATATTTGTTCACACATTACAGATCCTGGATTTTACTTGACATTTATCACTAAAGACAAGATAAGTGTGCTTGAACAAATAATTTTTTCTTTGAAAGAGAAAACGGACTTCTATTTTACAGTATTGATAAATAGTCTTTTACAAATAAAAAATTTGACATCAAACTCTTATAAAAGCATTGATTTAGTTGGTGAAAATAGAAGACAATTGCTTTTTATTCACACTTTAAATAATCGCAGTAATACTGGTTATGGTTATAAGTTTATTTTTGTATCTGACGATATTTCAAAAATTGCAGAATTAAGAACTCTCCATGAATTTAAAGAAAAGAAATTTCTCATACAAATTACAAATTCGGAAAGAGACGGAAATAAGTTTATTGCATTAGATAACAAAACTTTTAGTCCTGATCATGCTATATACGAAATTAATAATCAACTCCGAAATCGTAGAACAAAACTTTTATTTTTTGGAATACCAATTCCAACTGACGATTATAATGAAAATTGTAGTTATATTAGATATTTAAAAAATCGGGGAAGTTTGCAAAATGTTAATTTTTGTCAGAGGCGTTGGCGTTTATTTAAAAAATATAACTACGAAGAAGAAGCGATAAATTACATAGTAAAAAATACAACTTTCTCTACAGAACAAGCTTATCATATGCTTAAGAAATTCACATTTCCAGATAATGCAACGTTAATGCGATTTATCAAAGATTGGCAAAAAGATAATTCTTTTCATGAACCCATTTGGAGTAAGGAATATATAATAGATGAACCTGATCTCTTGGACAAATTAAGATACGACTTACGTTTTGAGGAACATAATACTATATCAGAATACGAAGCTGAATTTAGAATCAATTCTCTTTATTCAAAAGCAAACAGACGTCAAATTGAAAATAACGTATGGTTAAAAAATATAATTAAACAATATAATGAACAGAAAGCAAGTTTTTCAGTTTCATTTCATGATTACTATGCAATTCGAAATTATGCTACGACAGGATATAGAAGAATAACAAGGGGCAGCCTTGAAGCAAAACTGATGAAAATGGCTTTATATAAATTAGCAATAAGACAGTCTGAGGAACCGGATGAGGATTTTGACATGACATTATTTAGAGTGGAAACTAAATCAAATTTATTTCTTAAAACCATAGTTCGTAGGAACAATATAATTTTGCAAAAATTTACACAAACTTCTCCAACTATGAAATCTGCTTTGCAATTTGCCAGTTATCCACCAACTGGTTATATAAATATTATTTATGAAATGATATTTAATGGGCCATTTTTAAGGGCGAAAATATTACAATTTTATGATAAAATCGAAGAGAATGTAATTCTTTTACCTGGAACCGAATTTATAATGGAAGATCGTGAATTTGTGGACATTGAAGGTTTAGGAAGGATTTTAAAAGTCAAACTAAAGCTTCAAAATATTTTTGATGCCAAGTTTATGTGGTATAAAAATATCATGAATGAAATTGCTAAAATCAACTTTTAAAACATTGTGTGATGAATTAATAAAGAAAAAGTTCTTCAAACTGTAGTAATCAAAAAAGTAAAAATGTTCTGGTAACAATTTTTTAATAAATACGAAATATAAAAAATAATTATAATGTTAAATGTATTAATAATGGTAAAATAATTTTTTTATAAAATAATAATAATAAAATATAGAAATGTAATATAATAAAAATATGATTGTATAATGTTGACAATTACAAAATATATAATGTTAAATTTTAATTTAAATATTCAAATATATAACATTGGAACTAAATATATTATCATTAAATTTTCGATTATCTGAAATTTGAATAATTTAATGAGAATAAATTCTTTATACGTATAGATATAGCAATAAAATATTTTTTGAAATAGTTTACTCATGATAAATTATTGATAATATTGTCATTTTATATGTTTACCTTGAAACCAATTCAGTCTTACTTTGAGGTAAAAGACCGTGAACAAAAATTACATTGTAACCTTATCTTATATGAATATATATGTATATATAAGCAACCAGAAACTCTTATGTTTAGATTACAATAGAAACTCTCATACAAAATAATATACATTTTAACTACTTTATTCATAAATTAATAATCAACCATACAATAATCTAATTTTTGGAAGCAGCAACATTTTATAATAATCCGAGCCTAAGGTATGAATTTTTTTACTTTAGATAAAATTATAATTTTTCATTTCTTTCCTTTAATGTTCTTCTTGCATTTTACTCCTAATAGTAATTCATAATAATACTTAAACTGTACTGCATTTCAAATTAATTCATATTGATTAATCAAATTCCAAGATTCAAAAAATATTACGAAATAACATATTCATGGTTAAATTAAAATTAAATTTTTTACTAATTTCAAGTTAGAAAGAATAATATTAACTATGCAATACATACATCTTTTATTTTGCAGATAATATTTAAATATCACTACACGATATCGTTTTATACTGGTCAATATAAATTCTATAAAATAATAAAATTCACCTTTCAAGTATGGATACATTCAAGAATCCACTAGAAGCAGTACAGCTTATACCAATCTTTAATTACATAAACATACTTAGTGATTTTTTATTCCTTGAACAGTACCTAGCAGAATTTGATCAAAATAAGCAAATACCAATTGTTAATGCACTTTATGAATATTTGCAAGATTATCAGAATAATATACTCAAGAAAGATGAATTAATAAGAAACTTGTTAAGTGGAAGTGATATGTACGGAGCAAAAGAAGACGAATACGTTGACATAACATTTGTTAATGTGATGTTTGATTATATTATTAGTTCTATTGTATTTGCCAAGTATGGTAATGTTTATGGATTTTTAGGAACAATTTTTTGTAAAGCAGAAAATTTACAATTTGAAGAAGTATTAAATATAATAAGGCTACATCTTCAAAAAGCATCTTTTGACAATGAATATGGCAATAGTTCGACTCTCAGTGATTTATCAGTAGCAAGAATATACAACGACATAATATTACCTCTCTTTCCTGTAACAAAAAATAATCTTAGTTTATTGTCGCTTGATTATATTTATGCACAAGCTGGTTCAATGTTTCTTCGAGCAGCTAGAATTAATTCTAACAATTACATAAATTTTGAAAACAATTCTTTATATTTAACTGAGGATAATTTATTTGAGCAATACTTATTAATCGGACATTTAATTGAAAAATTCTTTCAAACTGATAAAAAGAATTACGAAATTTTAAAAGCTTTTGCACTTCCAGCTCTTATGTATCATATTTTCAATTTAAAATATTTCTTTGCCTATGAAAACATAGTAAATATAATTTCTGATTCAGTTTTTTGGCAAGAGGCTTATAAATCTTTATTTCAATATACAACTAAATCTTTTAATGACATAAATACTGTATTAAATAATAATAATTTTAATACATTGACAATAAATTCGGCAGTTTGTAGTTTATATAAAATTGAAATATTTGAAAGGTTTCTAAAAGAAGGTAATATACTTCATTTTCTATCCACATTAGGAACAACAATTCAATCAGTATGTTTAATAAATTTAATCAGTAAAACAGTAGATGAAATTGTAACAGAACAATCAAAATCTGATTTCTCAATAAAAAGTTCACTGAATAGAAATGAAATATTTGAAAATCTCTGTTCACACATAAACGATCCTGGATTTTACTTGACATTTATAACTAAAGACAAGATAAGTGTAATTGAAGAAATAATTAATTCTTTAAAAGAAAAGATAGATTTTAGTTTTACGTCAGTTATTAATAGTCTTTCAAAGATATCTATTTTAAAATCCAACTTTCACAAAAGCATTGGTTACGTTGGTGAAAATAATTCTCGATTTATTTTCATAAACACTTTAAATAATCAAAGTGATACTGGCTATGGTTATAAGTTTATTTTTCTATCCGATCATATGTTTGATACTGCACAATTAAGAAGTGGCCATGAATTTAAACAAAAGATATTTGTATTACAAATTAGAAATTCGGAAAATAAAACAAAAATTTACATTGCTTTAAATTATAAAACTTTTAGGACTGATTATCTTACATATGAAATTAATAACAAACTTTGGAAAAAAAACACAAGAGATTTATTTTATGGAATATCAGTTCAAGCTGATGATTATGATGAGAAGTGTAATGACATTAGGTATTTTGAAAATACGGAAAATGTTAATCGTTGCCGAAGACGAAGGAGGTTAGGTAATAAAGCACTTTATGAAGAAAAAGCTGTAAGTTATATTGAGGAAAATACTAATTTTACCCTTAATCAGGTACGCCATATGCTTGAAAAATATACATTTCCAGATTTGGATACTCTAGCTTTATTTATCAATGATTTGATAGAAAGCAAATCATTAAGAGAACCCATATGGAGTAGAAAATATATAATAGAGAATCCTGATCTTTTGAAAAAATTAAGATACGCCACACATTTTGAGGAACATACTACTATGTCAGAATATGATGGTGAATTTAGAATCAATTCTCTTTACACGAGAACATTAAGACGTCTAATTGAAGGTGAAGTTACGATAAAAAATATAATTCAAAAATACAATGAACAGAAAGCATGTTTTTCAGTCTCATTTCATGATTACTATGCAATTCGAAATTACGCTACAACAGGATATCAAAGAATAACAAGGGACACCAATGAAGCAAAACTGATGAAAATTGCATTATATAAATTAGCTATAAGACAATCTGAAGATCCAGATGAGGAATTTGATCTAACATTATTTAGAGTAGAATCTAAACCAACTAGAATGGAAAAAATAATATTTACTGAAGACTACATAACTTTTAAAAAATTTACACAAGCTTCTCCAAATATGGAATATGCTATGAAATTTGCTGGTTATCCAACAGCTGGTTATATAAACATTGTGTATGAAATGATATTTAGTGGACCATATCTAAGGACGAAAATAGAAAAATTTTATGAGAAAGTAGAAAATAGTGTAATTCTTTTACCTGGAAGTAAATTTCTCATTGAACATTGTAAATATGAAGACATTGAAGGTTTAGGCGTGGTTTTAAAATTGAAGTTAGTGTTTAATAATACCGCTAATGATAAGTATGTATGGTATTACAATATTATGAATGAAATTACACAAATCAGTTTCTAATTATAGTTAAGGGGGGAACACCAGTTGTAACTTTCGAAAAATCGAATTTTTTTTTTGTGCATTTTCTTAAAGTATACATATTTAGAAATGTGTCTGTAAATTTCAAAGTTGATCCGGTGAAAAATAAATGAGATATACAGAACACTGCAGCGGCGCGTCCCGTGGCTTCATACAAGGTGGCCAGCCATACCTGACCCTAACGACACATGGCCTTTTCCTATGATTTAGAAACGGCAACCACTGCGGAAGAGTTATTATATGGTCCAGGAATCGATGACTCTTTGTAACTTGGAAACAAAATTTCTCCTGAACAAAAAAAAGTAAGTTGAAACTTTGAATGCGTTTTTCTCAAAATGACATTTTCCAAGTCGGTGACCACGATTACTCGAATACCATTAAACCGATTTATTTAAAATTTAGTGTGCTTCATTTACACATATAAGTCTAGTTCGTGATCGAAGGATTTTTTTTTTTATGCAAAACTTTTTTTTATATAGCTGAAAATCGACCGTATTTTTTTAACGAAAATCATACTTTTGACTTTGACAGGTCGACAATTTGTCAAATTTTTTTTTTTTTTTTAAATCCTTCGATCACGAACTAGATAATCTTATAATAAATGTAAATCAATTTCATTTTTGTATTTCAGACGAAGTATACTTGCAGAATGCTGGTCACCGCAATTCGCCTTTTTTCTTAAGGCGCCACTTCAATGGCTCATATCTCCAAAAGTTTTTGTTAAAAAAATTTTTTTTTTCTTTTAAATTACAGCTTTTTACATGTACTTTTAACTAATAAATAGTATTCTTTAAAAAGATTCATTGTTCTTTTGGAAAATATTCTTGTAAAAAGCATTATTTTTTGAGTTACAACTGGTGTTCCCCCCTTAATGCATTCATAAAATTAGTTGTAAAAATTGTAAATCATATTATATCGGCTAAACTTTTAGACACGTAAAAACCAAAATGTATGAGTATAATTATCAAGAAAATATTAAAAGTAAAAGTACTGCTTTGTGTAAGCTCTCTACGGAGCGCACAAGCATTGCTTTGACTTCTCATCGAACAACGTCGAAATTTTACACACTGAAAAAAATTTAAAGAAAAGGAAAATTTTTAGAGATGTATTAATTAAAAGAAAATAATTTAATAAATTTTCAAAGTGAAGTTGGAAATTTAAGTAACATTTATTTAAATATAATCCCTAAATTTTCAAACAGAAAATATATATATGATAAACAAGTGATTTGTTACTTAGGATTCCATAAGAATTGTGTGAGTATATATGTATCTTACCGAATTTTAACCCTAAAAAAATCTGCTACCAATCGGAAAAATTCTGTACAATTATACTAGAATGACTTTCTAAAAAAACATTTCTTTGCAATTACGGAATAATGCGTTTGATTGACAAAATTCTCTCTGCAATGACGAATTCAAACGAAACGAAAAAAAGCAATGCGTTCATCGAAGTTTTCATGTTTTACTCTACAACGTCTAAATTTCGGTGACAGATTAGAAGTTGGATTGAAAATTACATTGATTTCCTAAGTAATAAACCCCTCGGGAATAAATAACAAAAAAAAATACAGCGACTATTCATATATTTTCCCATAAAAAATTTAATATTTCAGAAAAGCCCACGTTAATAATAAGCTCTGAGTGAATTCTATATGTTCGAAAATTCCACAAGGATCAATGACAAAAGTGGATTTAGGTGTATCGAAAAAGAAAATAGAGGGTTTTTTTTTTTTTTTTGCAGTAGCAGCAGATGTAGGGGAACAATTTTTAAAGTTAGGAACAGAGCAATAGACGTGTAAAGCTGATAGAAAAAAAGGAACAGTGGATACTCGCACGCTATATTCGACGCGTATAGTGAAAAGTGTACACGGACGCCTTTCTCGGGATTATGCCTAGACACGATCCACGATCCTATGTAGATCGTCGTGGAAAAGTATATGCAAATCCTCGTGGCAAACTGCTAGACATTTGCATAAGCTTATAGATAAGAGACGCGCGTTAACGGTACGCGTATTCCTTTGGTTTTCGTTTCTTCTTCCATACCATGTCATCTATACGCGAATAGATTGTCTTAACTTATTTAATAAAGACGAACAGACAGACAGATATAAATTTTTCTACAAAAAAAATAAAGGGTTAAATAAATCGATTTCTATTTTCTTTAAACGAGGACATCTTTTTTACCAGTTAGGTATACTTTTGCGATTTAACGTGAAAAATTAGATCGACAAAATTTCCCGTTCTGATCGTTTCCGAAAGCCGTATATGCCGGGAATGTATTTGCGATAAGGAGAGAGACCTCTCTCTCATCTCGACTAGATTCAAAACCCTTTTTCCATTGGATTTGTTTCTTCGCATGAAAAACCGATAAAAGTAACCTTCTCGCTTGCCCCCCTATCCCCTTTCTACGTTCAGTGCTTGCATGCGCGGCTTTTTATCTTCAATCAGAAAAGAGAAATTGCGCCAATGATCGAATCGCCAAACCACCAAGGACACCTTGAAAATTGCTCTTCACTTTTCTATAGATGAGATTATATTTTCTTGATTCGAGAAAATCCTTTCAAAAAAAAAAAAAAAAAACACACAAATCCACACAAAAGAAATCCGCGGATCAAAGAATCTTCCAGTCAATGAAATTTTTTTTTTTTTCCCCGTCAAACAAATAGTAATAATAATATATTGTAAGAATAAAATGTATTTAAATAAAAGCTGAGATTATATTCTTTTTTTTGTAATATCATTTTCTCAGTATATTTGCCGAGTAAATATAAAGTTTTTATCTCAATTTTAAAATAATATAAAAACCATTTTTTCTCTTTTGCAAATAATATATATATCCATATTCAGATATTTTAAAAAAGTAGATCTCTTCTAAAGAAATTATTATTTATGTTAATTTTTTTTTCGTTTTTTCTTACTTAAAAGATTATATCAAATTTTCAAGGTTTAATATTTTTCTCTGCATTTTAATTATTCCTTTAGCTGGAAAATATATTTCATTTTTATACTTTTTTAATTATTCTTATTCCGTTATTAATTTATATACATATTTTTTTTCTTTTAAATAATTTTTTTTTAATTAAAAAAATACTTTTATTCAGAAAATTTATTGTTTTCTAAACGGCAGTTAACCAGAAAATAATATTAAAAAAAAATTTATACGGTAATAAATTAATAACTTTTTAATTATAACAATAAAAATTTGTTTTTTGTAAGAGTTTCAACAAAATAGCCTATACTCGGGAGTTTTCGGGATAGCTAATTACGAATTCGATGTCAATTTTTCAATATTCAAAACAACGAATAATTAAAGAAAAATTTTATTCGACCTAATTTTTATTTTTACACAATTTTTATTTAACAGAAATTCTATTTAGCTGAATTTTTAAGTAAAGGAATTTCTATTTTATCAAAATTTCATATAAACGAACTTTCGGTTGTCCGAATTGCTATTTGATAAAACTTTTACATATCGGATCATACACCCGGTTCAAAAATTTCAGCGGGAATTTTAAAATCAACCAATCATAATTTTCTTCGTAATTTTTTCATTTGAGGATTTTAAAACTTCCCGCTGAAATATTTCGGCCAGGTGTATGATTGTATATATATGTGAAAGTTCTATAAAATGAAGATTCGGACAAGTGAAAGTTCGGTCAAATGAAGTTTCGGTGAAATAAAACTTTTAAAAATTCAGCTAAGTAGTATTTCTGTTAAATAAAAATTAAGCATTTGTCTGAATTTTTATTTGTACGAATTTTTAATTGATAGAATTTTTAAGACGACGAATTTTCATTTGTCCAAAATTACAAATGGCCAAACAAACAATCGACAGAAGGATTTCGGCGAAATTTTTAAAATTGACCAATTAGAAATTATCATGAAAATCGTGATTAATCAATTTGAAAAATTGCGCTGAAATCTTTCTGGCGATTGTTTGTTCGGTCATTTGTAATTTCGGACAATTGAAAATTCGACGTTTTAAAAATTATGTCAATTAAAAATTCGTACAAATAAAAATTTGGACAAATTAAAATTCGGTGAATTGGAATTTCTGACATTTAAAAATTCGAATCACATAAAATTCAATTGAATGAGAATTCTGTTAATTTAAAATTCGATTAAATTAAAATTCATTTAAATAAAAAGTCATTTAAATAAAAAGTCATGTAAAGAAAATGACTGTAAAATAAAAATTCTGACAAACAATAATTGGGTAGCTAAAAATTTTTTTAAGTAAAAATTTGGAGAATATTTATGTGTCCCTATTAATGACATATAATTTTTTTTCTGTCAGCAATATTTGTTGTTGTTTTTTTGCATGGGGTGAGTGAAACAGTGACGATAGAAGAACGTAGAGAAGGGAAACTTAAAGCTGAACCACCAGAGGGAGAAATTGCGACATTCCACTTAGATGGCATTACATTATATCTATAAACATTCAAAATTTAAACTTGAAACATTTAAATAAAAAAAAAATTGTTTTTGATTTTAAATGAATTTTAGCATTTTTAGCTTAATGTTTTAATATAAAATAATTATTAGAAGCATTTATTTCTATTTAGGAAAATTAAAAAAAAAAAAAAATATCAAAATTTGAAATTTAAGAAAGCCTCTGGGTTAAAAAAAAAGAAATGCATATTTTAATTTCTGAATAGGTGAAAAAATTATAACAAACAGTCGCGAATCTTCTAACAAGATGAAAAAGAAACCTTTTTTTTCTCATTTAAAGTCAAGACCAATTTTATTCTATTATCTTATCTTCTTAAAAAAAATAATACACCATTTTTATATAAAAGCCGCGCTCTGTTGCAAATTAAAGCCTCCGGGCGCAGTTTCAGGGACTTGAAATTTCCATTCTTTTCCTTCTTATCATTTCTTGGCACTAAGCCCAGTGCGCCAAGCGCGTTGGTTGGTATTACTTTTGTGTTTCTCTCATTTGTACCTGCCTTTTTATATATATATATATATATATATATATACCTGTTTTTCCTCTCCAGGATTCTTCGACTTCAATTTTCATCAGGACGAACAAAAAAAAAGAACTTCATGTCCTTCTGGCATTAATCTCACGCAGCTTCATTTTTTTATCTTTCAAAAATAACTGTAATTTATGGCTGGTGGGAAAAAAAAAATTGTTTTTAACTGGTACAGTTAGTATCGCAGTAATAGATAAAAGGAAGTCTCATTTTTATTTTTAGAAAAATTTTGCAATTTTTGTTTTTGTTTTTAAATATTTTTCTTATTCTTTCCAAATTTTTGCATTTCATAAAAGTAATACTCGCCTCTCTCTCTTGTTCTTTGATTAAATTTTCAATTTCCAAATTTCAGCGAATATAATTTAATCAGTGAAATATTTTGAGAGATATTAAATATTTGAAAGAATTTGAAAACGATAGTATCTTTGAGAATATAAAATTTTATTGCCTCATCTCTTTAACTAAAAACTTTCATATTGCCCTCTATAAAAAAAGATATTGGCCAAATGACTCAGTTTCGAGATTTTTCATTGCCAGCGTGTCTCTCTCATAAATCTATAAAGAAAACGAAGAATTTGTCACACATGCAAACAGCGAGAGAAATGAAATTTTCTTTTTTATGTTCAAGTCAAACAAAAAAAAAAAAATTTCTTTTATAACTAAATTTCAATGTAATAAATATATAAGGAAAATTTTCTTTTTTTTTTTTCTTCACCAATATATGAGTGAATAATAAATTCAACTACTTTTATAATAATGAAATTATAGAAAAAAAATTGAGTTTATTTAAAAAAATATTTCACGTTCTTGTGTGAATTGTACGTGTTGCAGCGTGTACAAAAAAAAACACCAAAAATACGTGACTAACAATTTTTTCACAAAAAAAAATGAAAAAGTTTTGTTAAAAATTGAGATTAAAATTAATATTTATTTTTTCTAACAAAACTTTTTTTATTTTATTACTTTTTTGGATAAACTTTTTAACCACGTACTTTGGGTGTTTATTATTAAAATTTTTATTTATTATTATTATTATTATTATTCGAAAATAATTTAAAATCGTTGAATTAAAAAAAATTAATATCAATCTTTTCTGTACATACAAAAAAAAAAATTTGTACCGATGTGACGTCACGATACAGTCGCTACCCAGATAGTACGTAAGCTTGCAGCAACCTTGCGGCAAGCTTGAAATGTCCCACCAAACCCAAGCTTGCATGGTAAGCTTACCGAAAGATTGCAGTGTAATGTTACTGCAAGATTGCACAATAAGATTATCGCAAGATTGCTCAGTAACCTTGCACGGTAAGCTTGTAGCAAGATTGGTTCAAGGTTGCCAAATAACCTTGCTTTGAACCTAAAAATTTTTTTTTAATTTTTCGTCTAATTTTTATAATAAAAAATTTAAATAATAAAATTATATAAATTAGACGAAAAATTTTTTTTTTAATTTTTTAGATTCAAAGCAAGGTTATTTAACAACCTTGCACCAACCTTGCTATAAGCTTACCGTGCAAGCTTACTGAGCAATTTTGCGATAATCTTATTGAGCAATCTTGCAGTAACCTTACACTGCAATCTTTCGGTAAGCTTACCATGCAAGCTTGGATCAGATGGGACATTTGAAGCTTGCCGCAAGCTTACGTACCTCCAAATTATTTTTCATAGAACCACAAATGTCAAATTATATTTTCTTAAGATTTTCGGTCCAAAGAATATGCCTAGAGAAATACTTTTCAAGGTATTATGTGGACCCAAGAACTTTTTTGAAATGATTTTATATTTTTGGTCCCGTGAAAAACAATTGAGCGTCGACGCCAACTTCATGGAGGTGCTTACGTGCTATCTGTGTTGTATTCGCGTCTTTCCAGACCGTTTTCGGTACTTAAAAATTATTTAAAACGTTTTTATTTAATTTAGCGCTTATTTTTCATTAAAAAATTATGAGAAAAAAAATTTGTTATGAAAAACAGACCCAATCTACCCATTAAAATTAAAAAAAAACTAACTTCCTATTACAACAAATTTAATGTGGGAAATATTCCTGCGCCCCCCCCCCCAAAAAAAAAAATTCAATATTTAAAAAAACGAGCACGTAACGGACTTTTTCATTATATTTCAAATTTTGTAATTATATATATCGTCAAAATCTAATTTCTTAATTTGAAAGATTAGAGAGTAGAAATTTTCTTAAAGGAACCCTTCGGATATTACGTCTTGACCGGTGTATATTTTGTACGCTAATTAAATTAATGAAAATAATTGATTGACTACAGTAGGGTTTCTTGATTAAAGGACATAGTATTTCCGACATTGGACGTCAAGTTTCAAGACAACCCTCTCGTCATCATCTTCGTCGTCGTTTGCAATTCTCTTGGCTCCTCTACGTATACTTGGACTTGAAGCAACAAGTTTCAAATATCAGTGTAGTACCCACTTCATCACATAGAGTAGAGTATAATAGTTCTCGAAAGTTTCCTTCTTTTAGCGACTTTAGAGAGAGAGAGAGAGAGAGAGGGGGGGGGGAGCGATGCACAATGGAGGGGACTACTTTCTTCAGACGTTCTTAAAATTATTCACTAATATATATATATATATATATATATATATATATATATATATTAGTGAATAATTTTCTTCTTTTCTATTTGCTCAAAAAAAGCTCGTCGTATATTCAACTCTTCGATATCGGCTTTTCTTCTCTTGCGATAATAATTAAAAATCAGAGAGAAAAGTTTCACCTCACTCAAGAGTCATCCAATAAAAATTTAAGCGAGAAATATCACTTAAAAATGAAGGTACAAAATTTATTTCTTAAGAAAAAAATTTCAAAAAATATCGTCAACCGAGGCGCATGATTTTTTTTAATAAAAATCAATAATTAGAATTTTCATTTTAAATCATTTTATAAAATAAAAATTTTTATTTACAAAATTTTTAGGTACTGAATTTTTATTTAACCCTTTCGCAGTGTAGCAGAAATAAAATTTCCGTGCCCCGTACGTGAGAAAAAAATTTTTTTTTTTTAAATTAATATTACCATATTATATGTTTTTAGGGTCGCTGATTACGAATTTGAAGTCAGTTTTTCAAAATTCAAAATGTCAGATCCAATATGGCGGACGAAAATTAAAAACTCATTGGATTTACTTGAAACTTGTTACTCGGGGGTTTCTTGGGTCACTGATTACGAATCCGATGTCACATTTCCAAAATTCAAAATGACGGATCCAATATGGCGACCAAAAAAAATTTGAAATTCACTAGATTTGCTTAAAACTTGTTACTCGGGGGTTTTCGGGGTCGCTAATTACAAATCTGATATCAGTTTTTCAAAATTCAAAATGGCGGACTCAATATGGCGACCAAAAAAAAAAATTAAAATTCACTAGATTTGCCTGAAACTTGTTACAGGCATTTTTAAATGTTGATTAATTAATTTTTGTTAAATTTTTAAATTTGTCATCCGACATATTTGATTCGCCATTTTAAATTTTGAAAAATCAATATCAAATTCGTAATCAGCGATCCCGAAAACCTCCTAGTAACAAATTTTAGACAAATCTAATAAATTTTTAATTTTTAATTTTTTTCGTAATCAGCGACCCCGAAAACCTAAGAATACCCATTGACAAGTTTATCGTATTGTGTCTACTTATTTTTTTTTTTTAGATGCTACTTTAGCGGTCATGCACACTGGTGGCACGACATTTTTATGCCTCTATAGAGGTCAATAACAGTGAAGGGGTTAACAGAATTTTTATTTTACAAAAATTATTTTTTACCAATTTTTTATATTTAAATTTAATTCTAATTTAACAAAATAATAATTTATTAGAAATCTCTTTAAATAGAATTTTAAGGGATTTAAAATTTTTTAAATACCATAGTATTTCCAGTTCACTTAAATCTTAATTTGTCCGAAAAAACAATCGACAGAAAGATTTCGGCGCGAATTTTGAAAAATTAACCAATAAAAAAATTATCAAGAAAAATGTAATTGTTTAATTTTAAAATTCACGTCGAAATTTTTCTGCCGTTTTTTTTTGTGACATTTTTGCAGTTTCGAACAATTGAAAATTGGTACTAAATGTAATTACTTAATTTTTTGTTAGAGAGCAGAAAACAAAATTCATAAAGTAGTGAAAAATTAGATGAGAAATTTTCAAAGTTTACAAAATTTTATTCGAATTTTCTAAAAGTTTTCTAGAGTTTTGCAAAATATTTCAAGTAAGTGTTATCAATTTAGTTGAAACTTGGATTGGATTGGATATTTTAAGAGAAAGGTGTGAAAAACCAAAATTACCATGGATAATTTTTGTTCATTTTTTGAAATTATGTTTAAAAATATTCTCGATGAAATATAAAAATTTTATGAATTTAAAAATTTCGTTCTCTTTTTAAAACTATTAAAAATTCAAACGGAATGAATAAAATGCAGAAGATGTAGTATTTCTAAATCAGAGACAAGACGTTATATATTCTTAAAATAGTGTTCGCAAATAATTTTTAATTGATTCATATTTCCTCGACTTTTTATTGAATTACGTTCTTTTCCCGGAAATTATTATAAATTTTTGATTGTTGCAACTAACGAAAACAAATGATTTTTAAAATATCGTCACAATTATAACTTTACAAAATAAAAAAAAAAATATAAATCTACAGAAAAATTTACGATGCTGAAATATGCAACGTTTATGATCAGCGATTAGAAATTAATTTTTATTTAACATGGATAATTATAAAATTGTTTACCTAAAAAAATATTTTTTTTATAATTTATTTATTCATAAAAATTATAAGAAATATTTTTCAGGCAAAAAAAATTATAGAATTTTTCATTCTAAACAATTATTTCATTAAAAATCGTTTATCATAAACGTTGCGTACTTCAGAATCGTGAAAATTTTTTAAAAATAACTTAATGCTTTGAAATAAATTTTTTTTTTAATTTTCCATGAAAAAAAAGAGTTTCTGAAAATATTAGAAAGTTAAAAAATAATTTCTGTATTATGTAAAGAAAAAAGAAATTACCCGAATTTTAATCGTAATTCCGGTGGATTTTCAATCGAAATTTTTTACGGAAATATTTTCACGTTGATCATGAATTTTGAATTATTATTATTATTATTCATGGAAAAATAAAAAATAAATATATTATAATTAATAAATTAATATATATAAATAAAGAAATAAAATAATAAACAAAAATGAAAAATATATCTCTAACCTTAGTCTGCAAATGATGTGTATCATATATTTGGGACGATTAGATCTGCTGTAGACACACTTTTACACACACGCGATTAAAATAATTTCAAACACATATTTTCAAAATACTTTTTCCAAAAATTTAAACGATCGCGATTTAAAAAATTTAGAACACTTCCGGAACAAAAAAAAGAGAATTTACTATAAAAAGACAAACAAAAAAAATTTAACTCATTTTTAAAATTTGTTTCGTTCACTAATTAAAAATTGCAAACACTCGCAAAGCTATTTTTACTGTAAATATATATGTGAAAATATATTTTTAAAAAACGATAAAAAAATACAAATGCGTTTCAACACAGAGAAAATACTTTAAAAATTCCAAAATTCACACTGACGTTGAGCACACCCGTCTAAACTGGTCAAAGCACGAATTGCAACTGATCGTATAATATCTTTGAAATTTTCACTATACACTGCTACGACCTTCGGCTTAGGGTAGCCTTTTGTATTTCAATGTAAACACCCAAATCGGGGTGCAGGTATAAAGATGATTTCAAAATTTAGTCGAAGCGACGTATTTATTTACAATATTATTTTAATATTATTATTAATATTATTATATATTATTTTTTGAATTAAAATAATATATTATTTACGACAAAATTAGAGGTTGATTTTTTTCTATTTTAATTCATGCACCGCGAATTGGTTAAAAAATTCTAAATCAAGTTTAATACAATTTTTCTTGTTTTTTAGGACAAAGAAAAAAAATTTTTTTTGTCCAGTTGTGATCATTTTACGGCAAAACTTCTGAAATTTTTTTTTTCAAATTATTCTAGTTTCTTTAAAAAATCAATATTTTTCAATTCTGTTTTTTAATTTCATTAAGTTTATTATTAATGTTCTTTCTTTGTCAAATTGAAAAAATTTTTAAATTAACAAAATCGGGGACATTTTTTTTTGAAAATTTAAAAAACTCGAATTTTCTCAAAAACATTATTTTTTATTTTCTTAAACATTTTTTGTGGTAACTATAGATAAAAAAAGGAACTTTTTCTATCGACTTTTGAGGCGTTTTAGCGGTAATCAAACTTATTGAAAAAAATTTTTTTTTATCAAGTAACTACAAAAAAATTTTTTAAAAAATAAAAAATGATGTTTTTGAGAAAATTCGAGTTTTTTTTAAATTTAAAAAAAAATGGCCGCGATTTTGTTAAGTTAAAAAAAATTTCAAATTGGCAAAGAAAGAGCATCAATAATACTATAATAAAAACCTCCATGAAGTTGACGTCGATGCTCGGCACCGAAAATTGTTTTTCACAGGATCAAAAATGTCAAATTATATATTTTTTAAAGATTTTCAGTCCAAATAATGCCATCAGAAATATTTTTCAAGGTATTATATGGATCGAAAACCTTTTTAAAAATTATTTGATATTTTTGATCCCGTGAAAAATAATTTTCAACGCTGAGCATGTACGCCAAATTTATAAATGTTACTGAAATCAAAATTCAAAAAAATTGAATTTTAAAAAAACTAGAAAAATTTTTTTTTTCGCAAAACAAAAAAAATACCGTGATTGTCCCATTTTCTGTCCAGCTAAGACCCAGTCTCCGTCTACTTTAATTTTAAAGATGACATTTCCGAATTTCGGATCTAAGATTCCGGATTCCACTTTTCACATTCCGAATTCCACATTCCGTATCCCACTTTCAAAATTCCGTATTTCAGATTCCGGATTCCATTTTCAAAATTCCGGATCCCACATTCCGGATTCCACTTTTCAGATTCCGGTTTCCACATACCGGATTCCATTTTAAAATTCTGTATTCCGGATCCTATATTTCACATTCCATATTCCGGATCGCACATTGAGGGTTCCATTTTCCACATTCCGGATTCCAATTTCAGAATGTGAAATGTGGAATCCGGAATGTGACAACTGAAATACGGAATTTTTACAGTGGGGTCCGGAATGTGGAATTCGAAATACGGAATATGGAATACGGAATGTGGGATCCGGAATCTGAAATACGGAATTTTAAAAAAGTAGGATCCGGAATGTGGAATACTGAATGTGGGATCCGGAAAAAGTTACATAATTGACCCCATGGACGGAAACTGGGAAAACGACGGTATGTGTCTTTTTATTTGTCCTGAAAAACAAGAAAAATTGTATTTTCAACCAATTCGACCTGTATGAATTGAAATAGAATCACCCTAAAATAAGTCGAAGCAAAACTAAACTCAGAACTAAACCGATAATAAATAAATTTGTTAAATATTAAGGAAGTTCTCCCCCTCCAACGTCAGTCAAATCAATGCCCATTTAAGTTTTCATTTGTATCACGTAGTACTATAGCTCAACGCTTGGCAACGTTGGATTATATTTCCCCCGTTCCGTTTCGTGTCGTCTGCTATTGTTTGATTTATTTTCGTTAAATAATAATAATAATAATTTATTATTTTAAAAATCTTAATTTTTTATAAGCAAATTCAAATTATTGTTCATTATTATGAATCTTTGAAGAATATACTATTATATGTATATACTACTTATATTACTTTCAAATTTCGCGCTTTTTCTATACCTAACCTACAAGACGCAACGTTGCCAAGCGTTGTGCTAAGTAATTTCTGATTGTCAAAATACTGTGTTTTTTTAGACAAAATAATTAATTGTGAGTCTCCTAAGCCAGGTCTGATCAATTTTATTAAAAGTAAGTGAACATTGGCTATTAAACTTTATGTATATAAAGTTCCAGTAATATCTTTTCGTCAGATTTTTCACAATTTGAGATTTCAGACCAAAAAATTCAATTTCCCATAAGAACCCGTGTTAAATGTGAAAAGAGAAAATTATTTATATCTTTTGTCAAAATCCACCTAGACCTCTAAAAATTTAACTACATCTTCTTTAAACCATTATCTATCAGTTTATCAAGTTTGATAATTAACTCTTCGTCATTTCTGTTTGCGAGAGAACTTCCTTAAAGTAAATTTTTTTATGAGCCAAAAGTTCTGAACGTTCAAATGAACGAAATATTTTTTTCAATCTATAAATTATTAAAAATTATAATAGCAATGTAAAATACAACGTTAAATCAATTAATTATTAAATTAATAACTTCTTTTTAGATATTTAAAACAATATTTTATATAATAAAATTTGTACTTAAAGAAGTTGTAAAAAAAAATTTCGTTCATTTGAACGTTCAAAACTTTTGGCTTATTTTTATTTTTCCATTTTAATAACGCATTATTTTGTTGAACATATTTTGAATTTTTCAATTCATTTCCCCTCCTTTTTTAACACCTTATATTTCTTTACATCTATTTTTTTTATCACTTATTTTCTTCTTTCATCTCCACTCGAAAAAGAAGAGAACGCTTAGGCAAGAGAAATTAGGCACTAGGGAATCTTAACGCTTGATAGTTTCCGGACAGCAAAGCTTCTCACGCGTCCCGTTGTCGTCGTTGTTGTCGTCCTGTGTGTACAAATTACACCCGCGTGAAGTGACATCACTTCCCATATTCTCGTGCAGTTCCACTATACGCTATATTTATACTTGTGACAAGTGGGTGGTAAAGCGTGGAGAATCATAAACCTATTTAATGCTTGGCTATAACGTGTAGCGTTTGAAACGATGCCCGTAATTGTCTTTAGTCTCCCTCTACTTTCGTGACTGTCTGCGCATATGCAATTAGACTATTATACACGTAAATGCCTTCGCTTACAATACTCTCATCCTTATTCTATATACATATATATATATATATATATATATATATATATATACAATATATTATCCTGCGATTTCTGGGCAGTAAATAATCGCGAAATTTCGACAAAACGTTGCATATTATGCTGATTATATTTCGTCGAGTGGGATAAGAATAGAAAACGCAGGTGGTTTTTTGAGGTATAATATTTATAATAAATTAATTTATCAGAAACTGACCTAATTTTAATTTCATTCATTGATTGATAAATACACAGATAATTATAAGGTATTAAAATAAGCTGCAACGCTTATTATCTTAATCCAATTTTGCTTATTTTAATACCAAAATGGATTAAAATAAAGCAAAATTGAATTAAAATAATAAGCGTTGCAGCTTATTTTAATGCCTTTTAATTATCTGTGTATTTCCCTATATTCGGCCTAGAATCTTCAATTATTATTATTACTAAAAATACAACATAAAGTAAATTTAAAAATATAAATACACTATTGGTGATGAAGAGCTTATCAGAGTATCTTTGATCCGTGATCTTGGAGTTGTCACATCACCGTGACTTATATTTAACAATAATAATTAAATAAATGGAATATTATATTTAAATAAATATATTTGTAAATAAATGATTGTTTATAAATAAACAAATATTTGTAAATAACCGCATCTATTCAAAGAATGACCTACAAAAATCATTCTATATAAAGGTAAACCTTTCCCATTCAAAACCAGTTACAAAAGATATAATATATGGGGCATTATATTTTAAAATTATACCCCTAGTAAACAATTATTGACAATATATGACATTTTTTAAATAATTATTTCTCCCATTTAATTAAATCAAATTACTTTTGCAATGAGTGGTTTCGAAAGAGAAATTTCTAAACTTTATTATTGTAAAAAAATTTTTTTAAAAAAACGTTTAATTAGCATAAAAAATTTAGTTTGAAGGTTAAACTTATAAATATCTCAAAACACGTTGTCTCCGATTTTGACAAAATCTGTGTCAAAAGAAAGCTTAAATATTCTATTTTTTATTTCCGTAAAGTTTATAATGGACATTTTCGAGAATTTCCAGAAATTAATTAAAATTCTCAGACGGACTTAAAGAACCATTTCTTTAAGAGCGGATTTTGTTTTTTAAATTTAATTTCCATTAACCTTACATTATTACATCACTTGACATTAGAGAAAAAAAATATTGTAAACAATAAATATATTGATCTTTAGCTATTTGCAATTAAAAATTTTTCAAATTTAAAAAAATTATTAAGATTAAAATTGAAGTTTTAAAATTTATTTATTTAAAAATTTCGTAAAAACAAATGCCGCTGTATTTGAACAGAGGTTCTCTATTCATGCAAATTTCAACCCTTTTTAACCTTTGAAACGTCTGAGAATTTTAATTAATTTCTCGAAATCCTCGAAAATGTCCATCATAAACTTTACGGAAATAAAAAATAGAATATTTAAGCTTTCTTTTGACACAGATTTTGTCAAAATCGGAGACAACGTGTTTTGAGATATTTATAAGTTTAACCTTTAAACTAAATTTTTTATGCTAATTAAACGTTTTTTTAAAAAATTTTTTTTACAATAATGAAGTTTAGAAATTTCTCTTTCGAAACCACTCATTGCAAATGTAATTTGATTTAATTAAATGGGAGAAATAATT